ACTCGTTTTGTAAATGTCACTTTGTTTTTATTGGGCAAAATTTAAACAAGAATTACACTGAAAAGGCCCGTGGATCCACCAAAACTGGCGCAATGTGCCGAAAAACGGATATAAATCTGCAATATTGACACGCGTAAAATTCAAGCTAACCGCAATGCCAGTGAAAACTAATTTGCGGTACCAATTTAATGGTGCCCTTTCTGATGTGTAGTAAATGCTATCCATATGTTGAAGTCCCATTATAGGCTACGCTACCTAAAATATATGGCAGAATGTACACAGAGATAGATTACTATGTGTTATATGGTGAAGACTAGACCTGTTGGGCCTGCTGGTTTGGTCACGGTACCTTTCTCTGATTCTCTTGAGGTGCTTTGAAGGAAAACTCGCTGCAGACAATCGGGACAGACAGACCAGAACAAATAATGGAGGGTGGATGCGTTGGGGAGTAGTCAGTCGTGCAGCCCTTACTCATTGGTTGCCTGAGACACAGTAGCTCTACCTCTCACTCTCTCATAAATGCGCTCCCACCACCGACCGTAGCAGATAATCACAGGCCACTGTGAGAGGGACACACCTACCGCTGATTTTGCCACAGTTTACACGGGGGATGCGTTTCCATTCACGAAACTGTGTCATCAGTGCAAGGTTTGAGTCGTGTTTGCAGCTTGCAGTTTCGCAATTTTGCAATTTTTTGCGCATAGGTTACGAGATCGCTCCGCTCCAACTCGAAGATGACTGGGGTTTTTGAGAACTTAAATACTGATATGCATTCGAACCAGATTACCTCAAGCAGTTACCACAGCTTGCACAAATCGCAGGAGTCCCCGACTTTGCCGGTGTCCACGGCGACGGACAGCAGCTATTACAACAGCCAACAGCCTGGCCACTGCGCCGGTTCTCCATTTGGCCAACTCGGCTCTTACCAGTACCATGGCAGCGCTACGAGCACTGTGCCATATAACGCAAAGGCATACGATCTTGGTTTCAACTCATCTTATGGTGCATACAGCTCCTACGGCTCCAACTCCTCTCCTACTCCAGCTGACACAGGTAAGCTCTTTAGTTGTTTTATAATAACTACATTTACATGAATTCAACGCTTTTGTTTAAGACTTGAAACTTCAGATCTTGTTTATGACATTAATAGTAGGAAAAGCAAGTTGAATCATGCATACAACACAGGCCTAGTTGACAAGATAATTACTATGTGATCAGAAATTATTAGACACACTTGTCTTGCGCAGATGAGCACAAGATGTTAACAGAAAGTGTTCAGGTAATTTATTAAGTACAAATAAATGTTGACAACTTCAGATTTTCTTCAAATCTAATTGATTATTAGGTGTGCATCTATTTGCCAAACACAAACTGAAGCCAATGCAAAATAGTTCCATGCAACTAAATAATATGCATAACGTCAAATGTATTTGAATGTTTCTTCAGAGAAAGAAGAGAGCGAGCCAGAAATCCGTATGGTTAATGGAAAACCAAAGAAGGTCAGGAAACCTCGAACCATTTATTCCAGCTTCCAACTGGCTGCACTTCAACGGAGGTTTCAAAAGACCCAGTATTTGGCTCTACCAGAACGGGCCGAGCTGGCAGCCTCGCTGGGCCTTACGCAAACACAGGTGGGTGCATCAAAGACATGTGTTCAGACCCTGTCAAATATCCACTTTATGTCTAATACGAAAAGAAATTAAAACTGTCAAAAGGGGATTTGAGCCGGAAAATATTGGTCAATCAATTGTATGCTTGTATCCGTCTCTTTCTCAGGTCAAAATCTGGTTCCAAAACCGCCGTTCCAAGTTCAAGAAGTTGTGGAAAAGTGGAGAAATCCCCCCCAGATCAACATGTTGCTTCCAGCGAATCCCCCCCCCTGCTCGTCTCCGCCAACTACTGCCTGGGACTTTCCACAGACTCAAAGAATGAACAGTGTCAACTCCAGTTTACCTCAGAGCAGCAGCCCTCCCAACACGACTGCGCCTTCATCGTTTTTGGCAAACTACTCCTGGTACTCAACCACGAACTCTACGACGCATCTGCAGCCTCCTCTGGTCCAGCATCACCATAACTCCGCCATAAGCGCTGGGACAATATTCTGAAACAACAACAACAAACATCGGGTTTAAATCGGACAATACTGGTGAAAAAAAAGAAAAATGCCAATACCTTAATTTTACAGACCTCGTGTGTGCGCCGTGCGAACTTTACACGCAAGCATCAAGGAGAAATTAATGGAGCCATGCAGACAGGTTCATTGACCCTGCCAGATTTCGCGCTGGCAAATGGTAGACACAGATTTCTACAGTTATTTTTGTATTTATTTATTTTGTGTATGTCGAGGGATGAATGAACCACTATTACCCAAAGCAATCACAGCCTGGGCGCAAGCCTACTTTTACGCGGTCGTCACTTTTTAGCCACTCCTGCAAATAAAAATATTAATCGCAGGACAACCTGTCACAAATGTAGCACAAGTTAACTGTATCGTGCCTTTTTCAATATGACCTCATTTTGTTGTGCTATAGAACAGCTTACCTTTATCCATCCCTCATGGCATTAGTTGATTTGAATATACTTGGGGGGTAGCCTAAGTGTCTGAATCAACGTTTGTAAATATTTTACCACAGCTTTTTGATAGCCCATGCCGCTTTGACTCCTTTTTCAGGCTACTGGTGCAAATCCATTAACCACCGTAAGCTACTGATTGTCATACCCTCTGATTTACTTGTATCACATTTAATTGTATTTTTTGTCTTATTTATTTTAGCTGTGTCCCATATATGGCCAGACGTTATTTAAATAAAAAATGTTTTCCGTGCATATAGTCATCCCTCTTTTTCTTTCCGAAAATTGGTTTCTGTGCACGTGCTCCTTTGCTGTCCCAACAGGCATGTGTGGATGAATGGGGAGAATTTGTGTTGTCTTATTCTATAGCCTACACACATAGGCTAAGCCTGCACATAAGACTATTTTTTATTTATTTTTACAGCAATTTAGATATTATTTAAATATAGCCTAATTTAGATTTTTTCAAAGCATACAATTAACGCCAGGTAAGTGCTGAATAATTTTCGCACCTCCAGTAATCTAGCTTTAGCTTTATTTCAGAAAGTGAAAATATGTCAGTGTTAGGAAAACTCTTTAATTGACACAGGTTGCTACACCTGTTACGCTGATTCATTTAAACTACATTTAGCCTACCTGTATTTTGACTGTCATAGGCTGGAACTCGATGAAAATGCCCTGATAAACGCACACCTGTAGTTAAATTAATAGCCTATAGATTTATAGCTTAAACTAAATTGCCGAGCCTCTCTACTGAGAACCAGCTAGCCAGGACTACCTAACGGTACACTGATTAAAAGCTATTTCTTAAGTAATACCATGTTGTTTGTAATTACAAGAGCGTGTTAGGTGCTATCACAAGCGTAGGACAAGCGTAAGATAATTCCTCAGCAGAGCCGAGGCTCATTCAGACAGGCAGGCAGAGGAAGAGGCCCGGGGCGCAGGCTCAGCGGTGGGGGAGGCAGCACAACAACATGCCTTGGCATGCGAGAGGGGAAGATGAGGGTGGGTATGAATGAGCACAAGCTCCTCAGACTCTGTGGAGTCAGAGTCGTTTCCAGACGTTTTATGAACTCAGCCTAACAAGAGAAAAAGAGTGGAACTAGGTCCAAGACAGCCTGGAGCTAACACATAATGGAAACATTTCTCACGCCTCTGATCTCTGAAGACGAGCAGATTGACCTACATTATTAAAAGGCTCATGTAGGGCCTGTAGGCTACATGGAAAACATAGGCACATGTCCAAAAATTAAATGTACTGCAGCCTAGGCCTTTTTCATTTATATTTATCAGTGTTATATTTTATTTATTTTAATTGAGCTTGACTCAAATAGACAGATAGATGGATAGACAGGCTATAGTGGTGGGCCTAGGCCTATTAATACACAGTCCCATCACTTAGATCTCATTCATGATCATCATCATGATCTGTCTGTCCCACAGCTTCCCTTCAAACGACCACGGGCCATAAAGTGGGGTCGTTCCTTGTAGGCTACATAATTAGGACTGTAGCTTGTCAGCGGTTGCTGTATCTCCATGATAGAGCCTCCTCCCTGGAGCTGACAGGATCAGATCCCAGGCATGCAGCAGCACATTATTACATCCAGACATACATGTAGGCCTATGTGGACCTTTGTAGATTTAATTTGCCTGCACTGTTACAGTACAGAGAGTGTGAGTACATGCATCAAGACCACAATATTTGCTGGGTTTGTCCTCAACATTCACATGGGTGGCCGTAATTATACACCAGCTGTGAAGTACAAGCACAGATTTTGTACAATAATTCAGTAAACTACTTTAGATTATTTATCGATTTTTTTTCCTTCAAAAAACATTTATGTAGGTTTTCTGTTGCTCCATATGATTTCATTCATGAATTAGAGCTGCTGTGGTTTATGCATTTGCATTTCTCTAGACAACTTGTAAATGCCATACCTCCTATCCTAATTTATACCCTGATCTGTAATTTCATCCACATTTGCTCTGGTTTGAGCATTCTGGCTTTCAAATCTGAAAGCCTGCAATTACTATATAATTCTTCGCAATTTTAGATGTCCTAATATGGGGTGTTATTTTCTACACAAGACAATTTCCCGCTATTTCAAGCATCAACATTGTCAAAGTTGTATGTACATAATAAATGGGAATATCAATGCATAGTTTTTAGCCTAACATCTTGACTCAACGATAATTATATCCGTGTGGAGCCTACGCAGAATTAGCCTGAATTGCATGGTAACTGCTGCTTTAAATTTTAAAAAATTACTCATAATTTCCCCCAAAGATTACCAAGATCTCGAGTGCACAATGTCATCAGCGTAATGAGGAGTAAACATTTATGCTAATAATCTACATTTTCCCCCCATCAGCTATAAAGAGGGGAAATAAAGCAGGCATTTTCAGTCATATTCTGAACTCTGCTGCTATAGCTTAGACCAGCACATGGAACACATTTTGTGGGATTTAAGCGCTCATCTTGTGTCTGTGCTGCAGGATGCTGCTGCTCATCTGCCTTCATGCAGATTTCTGAAAATCCCGAGAGGGAGCTTGCCTCTTCCTTTTCAAGCTGAAAGGTGCGTATTATATGTTTATTTCTTAAAAATCCATTGAAAGAAGCGTGACTGAATGCATGTGAGATAATCAAGAACAGAACATTTTCGATTCTTCGTTACAGGCATAATTGATCCTGTTTTTTATGCTTATACAATATTTATTTATTTGTATTCTTAGTCAAAACGGTGAATGTCACTGATTCTTTGATGCTATAAAACTATTTCAAAGACTAGTTCCTGGAGAGTAAAATCTTAGGCCCATTTTCTCCTGTAACCTCGGTTAAAATGTATTTTAAATCATCTAGAGGATGTAATGTGCAACCATGATTTGTTTGTGTGGAAAGGTCCTATAGCTCAGAAAGCTGATCACGCCGAGAGGAAACGTAAGGAAGGGGAAACACATAAGTTGTTCTTTGATTTAGTCGCTGCTCTCATTACTCTTACATTGTGCCTTGCTAATTCTGAAGCCTCTTCGCATTGACAACTCCGTGATGTACACCTGCAAGCAATTTGCCAGCCTTATACATAGGCGAAGTCTAAGGGAACCATGACGAAATGGCAGCTCACCTATTTCGCTATTTTTTTTCTATTGCAGCAGCAAATTTCTTTCAGAGCACTATCTCTTTTGTCAACGCAGAAAGATCCTCATAATTACCTCAGAGATAGGAAACTACATTAGAATAAATAAGGGGCAAAATTACTGTAATTATACTGGATTTGATGGGCTCAGCTCGTATAATCAAGGGGAGAATGCAGCGAAATAACACTGACCCTCTTGGATGTGCAGCTGCGCCTTTCTAGGACTAGGTAGGCAGGTTATGTTCTCTCCCAGCAGCAGCAGCAGCACAATTCGTATTCTTTCTTAATGGTATCGAAATATACCTATTGTACTTATGTAGGCTTGTTCACAAACGACTGTATATGTACTGAGTTTTGTATTAAAATAACAATGGAGACAGGATTGAAGCAGAGGACGTTACACTAGGAGCAGACAATATAGATAAACTAGGCCAGAACTTGTTTCTTTTTTACTCCCTCTGAAGTTAAAATGTGATGCTGTTGTTGCATGAGAAGAGCCTCAGCAATAATAATAATAATAACAATGATAATAATAATAATAATAATAATAATAATAATAATAATAATAATAATAATAATAATAATAATAATAATAATAATAATAAACATTATGATGGTTAACAGTGAAAATAAATGAAACATGAAACAAATTAGAAATGAATTAGGTGCGCGGTTAGTTAGACCGCAGAAGTTGCAGCAAATGTGCCATTACAATTGCAAAACATTTATATATTCATGGAGATATGGCAGCTAGAGGAGAGCGATTACCGCATCTGCAATTAATTTCTTTTCATGCTTTGTTTGTTCTCAGGCACATGTATAGGCTACAAACATTAAACATTGGTTGTATTTTTTTGTTAGCCTATTATTACTTTTTGCCAAGTAGCGCTAAAGGTGTTTTCATGGACAGGTAATTCCACCTGTGTCAAGAGCAGTTTAGTTTCTTTAAGGCATTTTCAAAATCATTGTGAGTATAAAAATCCATTTTTTTTTTATAAATAACCAAACTAGTTGCATTTTAACACATTTTACGATCCAAAAAAACTAAAAGACTTACTGCGGATTGCATAAGGAGAATAAATGAATAAAGTATGAACACCAAACAAGAAGGCCTTTGAACTTTTTCACTTTCACTGATCTCCATCTGATCCGCCCTGTGTCCCGCGTGCTCATCCAGTCCTCTTTGCAGCACCTGCCTCTTGCCCAATTATTCACTTAACACACACAATTGATCTCTCCCATTCATGGCGGAGAATGGGGATTGTCGCAAAACAAATGGAAAGAAGATTATCTTTAAGAAACGCTGAAAAGAAATAAGCGATGTTGTTAAATTAATCCAGATCTCCCGCAGTGCGACGCTTAAATCACACCAATATAAATGATGCAGCTGATATCGGCCAAAAGATTCAGTGGTTTCTACCATTTTAGTACGAGTATGTTGCTTTGGGTTTTTTTGTTTTGCCTCTTCCATTTAACATGTAAAATGCAGCCGAACAACATGTAAAAATATATTCGTGTAGATGTATATTGTAAATGTTGTTTTACCGACATTTTTAAACGCATCGTCAGATTTATTATTCTTATAGGCCGCTCCAGATGTTTGACAACATCTGCAACCGGTGAGTAGCAGCAGCACGAACCCATGGAGGCCAAACGCTAAACAGGACCATAAATCTAAACGAAGAGCCTTTTGCAGCTCACACACCTCACTCACACGGCGTCTGCTACAATAACCAACATGATACTTCTTTGTGTCAGCGCACATTAAACCTGCACCATGCTGAAGCCTTTCTTTTCAAACGAGTGGAGGGTGGAGGTGAAAGGGGGGGGGGGGGGGGGGGGGGTTGAATCAGACACCTTTCTTGACATAATTTAAATCATTATTTTACTGCTCTTGAAACTCTGCACATTATGTACATAAACTTCAGAAACAGATCAATAAATTAAAGTGATCAATACAAAACTAAATATTTTCTATGGTGACTAAACACATCTCGACGAATACAGAAAGCCTAAAACCCTGTTTCACAGCGTATCCAGTATACAGCACAAAAAAACAATCTGAAAAGTATGTACAAAATACAGTGACAAATGAGCTGCTCAACCCTCAGGATATTTTTTTTTCAAAGCAGCGAAATTGTCAGGCCTTTTACATTTTTCACATAACATCGGGGCACGGTATAGAAAAGCTTTGCTTGCGTTAGTGCAGCATTAACAACACAGTGTTGTTGTTGTTTCAAACACACTTACAAAATGAACACAGACTGACCTCAACAGAAAAACTCCTCTGAATAATTTAAACTTAAATAACAAACACATATAAACAACATAGTAGCAATTTGAGGCTTCGCACAATATGCTCTGTGGTTGAATGTGCTGTAAGCATGATGACCTGATGGTTAGGCTACTGGTGGAATGTATTAATTATTATTATTTGGTTTAAGAAACACCCCTATGGCCGAACCGACCTTTAACTGTTAATGAATGCAGATTGGTTTTAGGTCATCATCCCCCTAGGCCCGACATCTGGTGTAAACAAACACGTGTTTTCTTATAAACATACTAACTCATACAAATATGATTTTTTTTTTTTAAATCAAAATTGAAACTGACACAAAAGTGATAAACAGCAGCCAAAAAAGGATCCATTTGTCTTCGATTTCGCTGACTGTCATGGACTTGTTGCCCTTGGGCGCATTGAGATGCCTTTTCAGTCTCTCAGCTCCCTTCTTCTTCTTCTTCTTCTTCTTCTTCGCTGTTTGCCGTCATCCGGTATGAGGAGGCCACTGTGTTCGCTGGCGGCATGCGGCAGCAAACTGCGGGGTTGTTGTTGTGTATCATCAGTGCTGGGCCGCGCTGAGCGGCTGCAGGCTCCTTCAACATCCTGATAAACGCGCCATGGCAGAGTCGAGGGCTGAGGTCTCTGTTCACATGAGCTGTGACTGTTGCATAGACTCTTGGTGTGTGGTGGGGTACCATGAGGTGTAGCTGGGAATGTAAGATCCGGTCGTCCCCACTGAAGTCTTCACGGTGGTCGGCGAGCTCCAGACAGGTGCCACCGAGGGAGAACCGCTCGACAGTCCACGGCCAGTGGCTAAAGCGTTGGAGTCAATTGTGCCACCGCCCTGCTTCATCAGTTTCTTGAATTTAGACCGTTTATTTTGAAACCAAATCTTCACCTGTAGAGACAAAATGAAAGTAGCCGGATTAGAAAATTCAAACTGAAATGAAAAGCAGTTTTAACTAAATTAAACGCATGTTTTACGCACGCAGCAGGTTTCAACATACAAAATCAAGAGCAAAAAAAAAATGAATAGTGATATCTTGCCCTTGATTATGATTTAACTGCATGAATGAAAGTATACTAATCAGACAAACAAAATGAATCCTTCATTTGGTGTGAAACATTGCATAGTATGTTATTCTTCGACGAACCGTGTTCCATTTGAATTGTAAATAATAATAATTATTATTATTATAATCACAATAACGCATGCTGTGAAAAAATTACATTTAAAATGTGTAAAATTGCCTAATGGTGCTGCTGCAGAGTGAAGCTATTTGGCAGTCTGTTTCTTGGACTTGCCTGTGTCTGGGTGAGACCCAGCGACGCTGCCAGCTCAGCTCTCTCAGGTAACGCCAAATATTGAGTTTGTTGAAATCTCCTGTTCAAAGCTTGAAGTTGTAAACTCGAATAGATAGTCCTTGGTTTTCTAATCTTTTTCCCTTTCCCGTTGAATCGAACCTCTCCTCCTTCGACCACTGTGTTTTTCTCTGCTTCTGGCGCTGAGGGAGAGAGAAAAGAGCAAAGAGAATGAGGAAAAAATGAGGAGGCAGTTGTGGCCAACGGAGCTGCGGAGCTATGAATACTCCAGCGCAAGTTTTACAGGCTGTACTTTAGGTATAATTACCCTTAATTGCATACATTGTTTATAGCGTTACGCAATAAATAATTACCAAGCCTAATTCCAACATCTGGGTCGCCTTTTCCATGCAGCGAGGACTGTATACAGTAGAAAGCCGTGTCACTACAGAAAGTTAATATTTAAGATCCAAAGATGCTGTTGCACACTTACCTGCATCCTCTAACCGAGTCTGTGTGAGTGCCGAGCTGTTTTGGTAGGTCTGTACTGTGCTGAGATATGGACTGGTGGAATGGCTACCGACGGAGTTTACGTATGGATAACCCAAAGATCTGGGGAACGACGAGGCTGCTGGACTGTAGCTGTCGTGCTGGGTATGACCTGCAGAATGTAAACAGTGCATGGGATAGTGTCCGTGAGACATGGAGGAAGGTGACATTTGTTGACTCGTGGGTCCAAACTCCATGAAAACGGTCTTTCCTGAGGCAGGGCTATTAAGACTTTCTGGAATTGTAGTCATTGTCATCTCTTCTCGCGTTTCCCGTCGTCTTGCTTTTGTTGTTTTCCTTCTATGATCTCAGTGAAGGATGGGTCCCAATTTAAGCCGAACAGATTTTTTCTCTTTCCATTCATAAGAAAATGTAGTTTGTGCCCGTGAAAAGTCCTAGGTATGATGCTGTGGACCAAGACAAACTCGCTCAAAGGTTTGAATCTCGGACTCATGAATATTCATCAAAGACTGTCGCTGATTGGTCCACTCTCTCCAAGAGGGAAGCCGATTGGCGACAATGGGGCTGGGTCCGAAGAACCTGATAAAGTCAAGGAAAACCACAAAACCCAAGCTTTCCTCTTCACATGTCAAGATTCACTATTATTATTTATTATTATTATTATTATTATTATTATTATTATTATTATTGTTATTATTTACAATAATCAAATTTGGACACCAAATATTTATAATATAGGATACCATAACCTGATAACATATTTTTCTGATCCACTTTTGTCTCAGCAGTATATATATTTGAATAAAACATTGTCATTTCTATTGGCACAGCGCTCAATAATATAGTAAAATATAGTATTTCTCACCTTGTATTGAAAGTGCCGGTTGTCATATACCCACCTTAACGTCATTTATTATTGTTAAATAATATTTCCAGTCTCGTTAAAGCTGCTCTTTTGATTAAAGCTATTTTTTGGGGGGATTAAATGCTCTATCTGGAGGAAGGTGTATTAGCATAACACTAGTGTTCAATTTTCATAAGTAGGCCTGTAATTAGTCATGTATTTAACACTTCTTGAGGTCTCAGTTACACCTGGCAGCAGTGGGACGTTAAAACAGTTCTGCTCTGATGTCAGATGAGGGTTGTTGGTTCAGTTTGGGCCTAATTGTGTTTTATAACACCTGAAACATAGCCTATAACATTACAGCCTACATACAAAATAACGAATATAGAAAAAAAAACTATTGACAGGCCAATGTGTAATTAATCAAAGTGAGTATAGCGCATTTTAACACCTTTAATAAAGGAAGCCGTTTTAATTATGAATTTCAAAACAATATGAAAGCCTATATATTCGCGGGGAATTTGATGGTTAGGCTACACGTTCCTGCTCGAATAGATTCTGGTTTTATAACACAGCCATGAATGCATAGAGGCCTATTTTCTTATCATGCTTTCCAAACGACTTTACGCATATTCAATCGCAGTATCAATTAATGGTCCCAGTTTTGTTAAACACTGGCACCTTTGATTAGCATGAATCTAAGTGAGGATGGGGGTGCGGCCAGCCTCCCACAGCCTAACAAGAATAATTGTCCGTGGACATTTGATTTAATTGAACTGACGACTGACTAAACATAGGAGACATTTTTCTTGAGCTGCTGGTTCAGACCTCCACATCTCAAAGCTCAAATAGGATCACTGCTGCAGCTATGTAGAGTTTAACCAGGCAGTATTTAAAAAAGATCTTAATTTCAATCAGCAACTAAAAGCAACATCCCTTCACTTACTTTAAAAAGCATGTGAATGAAAAGAAGCAGATAAATCCGCGCTGTCCGGGGTCAGAGATCCTCCGCAGGATGCACTTGGTGGAAGAAGAAGAAGAAGAAGGAGATGGAGAAGGAGAGGGAGAAGAAGGAGAAGAAGAAGAAAGTATCCAGCAGCTCTTCATTTTATTAGGATTCATGCGAGCTGCAGCTCTTGTTCTGTTGTCTGTGCAGAGCAGAAACACAGCCTGGCTGCTCCATCCGCGGTCTCTCCATCTCCACCTGAATAACAAATTAAAGGCAGTTAAATTCCGTCACTGTGATTATCAGTGCAATTACATAATTGAACTCAAAACAGAACTAGCAAGTTGCAAAATGTGTTATCAAAATGCAGGCGTTGACATCACGGCACGTGTGCCACAGTGTGCCAGACGGCTGCGGGTGCCTGAATTTAAAGATTTCTGTGCAATATTAACGAAAAGCTGGTCCCTTGTCCCCTAAAATAGGCCAATTTGAAGTGATTTCTCTGGAATTACTTTCGAAAAATGCTTCAAGATTTCCTCTATCAACAACGACAATGATAATGGTAGTACAACCAATAATTATCATCTTCCAGAACAGAGGACAGATTTTTATGGGTACTTGGTGGGTGCGACTGATAACTGTCATTATTTTCCCACGATTATAGTATCTGCAAACTGGCACACGGCTGTGAGCAAAACCCTGAACAGAACAGAGGCAGAATTTGCAGGGGAAAATGTAAAATAATACCACGAGTGTACGACTAATAATATAAATAATAATTATAGGCTTTTTGTTGAAGTAAAAATTTAGAGCTGAACAGACTCACGAAATAGATGCTGCATACATCATGTTCATTTTGTTGATACCCTTTTGCAAAATCAATCATTTACGAAGTGATGATTTGCCTGCAACCTAAACGATTAACTATTTATTTGAGGGATTTTTCTCAAGCCATCTTCGGTGTCATTAGGATGAGCAGGCGTGTGGTAATATTACCACTTTAATTTATAATTTGACTCCTGCGCCTGCGGGCAAGGAGGGCAGCGTAGGCCACAGCGGTCCATCCTGCAGCACGGCAGCAAGGGATCTAACTAGCCACACTAAAAATAAAGTCCTCCATGCATGGATTGAGCGCGGAGGCAGGACTCATTAGGCGTGAGTAGCTCTGTGGCTGAGGGTGTTTTAACACCTGCTGCTCTTCACCTGAGGGTTAGTGCAGAGGTGGAGAGACAGAAAGAGGGAGGGGTGGAGGGGTAAACGGGCCAAGATGTCACAGACTTCATTTCAGTCCGGTGATAGAAAGCCCTCCTCAACTGCCATGCCAACCCACATTTTCACAGCCACCAAATATTATCCCGGCCGCGGTACATTGGTAAACTGTGCATCCATGCTGTGTTAAGGCACATCTCCACGTGCACCCTGCAGACTCTGCATGTGAGCAGTGATTAATTAATGTCATTGGAGGTGCAGGCAACTGTGAGTTTTTTTTTAAATTTCCCTTTCTTACAAAGGAGACAAAATGCTGCTTTACAACATGCAGGTGTGTGCGTGTGTGTGTGTGTGTGTGTGTGTGTGTGTCAGATGTATATTTATGTGATGGTTCTTTCCAGCTTCAGGTTTAATACTTTCTGATAATATTTGATTTCAAATCTGAAAGTGAAAATGAAAGTTGCAGCTGATTTCCACACACTTTTACATGTTCTCACTCAAAATCATGTTGCATAAATATCCATCTAAAACATACTAATTCATAACAAAAAATAAACTGTTCTTACACTCTATGAGGCTTTTATTTACAGTAGCTCATCATTTCTTAAACTACCCATTGTGGACATTATTACCACGTCACCTCAGCTACAAATGCTGATGTAATTTGGTGAGTGCCTTCCAGCAGAAATGTCACACTATATGAAGGTTTATTTCATGTTTTAAAGGCAGTGGCTCAAACAAGTGAAATTGCCTTTTGTTCTGCTTCCTCTCTGGCTTTGCTGCTTGCTTGCCATCCTGTAATTTGCAGCGTCAATGAACGCAAACTAGATGCACTACAATTAACTCGATTCAATGTCTATTTCCATGTTCAATGTGGCATCAAAATGTGAATTGATTTTGTTTACTGAGTTAGATGCAAACAAAAAAATGAATCATAATATCTGAGAAACAAGATTGTTACATTGGTTAATTGATTGCATTATAATAAAGGTCAGGAGGGATACAGGGAGAAACTGAAATTATGTTACTTTTTTTATTGTTTTCAGAAAATACAGAAGAATAAAATGTATTTTAGACTGTCAAAACCAAATTTACTGTGTTAATAAAAACATTATTGGTTGGTTTACTTTTGTGGTGATCTGACACTTGATTTTATTACCTGCAAGAAAGGTCACACTGCTTTCTAAAATTAAATTACAGCAATAATGAATTTTTTGTTTGTTTTTTTAAAAGCCCAATCTGTCATTTTCATCCATAAAAATACAAGGTTTATTCAGATAAAGTGACATCTAAATATAAAAAACATTTTTGTGATTCTCATTTGATAATAATTGACTGCTTGTTTAAAAACATTTGAAAACATTAATAACTATTTATTCATTTAATTAAAAGATCAGTTTGGGAGACATAGCAGGTTCCAGTTTAAGATTTTTGACATGTTGGGGCTATCTTTTGTTTATATTTGGATCCAATATTCTGCTTCTAATACAGAAAAAAAGTAGAAAATTCCTTTACTGACAGACAAGATATTATAAATGTTTTCTGTAGCGATTAAAAAATAAAACAATGAAAAGGTGTAGATTTTATAAAAGTTTTGTGCAGGATATTGATGATTGTTTTGTTTGTTTTTAGGCCTTGATGACTACAGACCAAATGCTCCTGGGAATCCAAACTGGACTTGTTGCTCTGTAGACGACTCACTGAGTCTTGAAGCTTGGTGAAAACAGAAATAAAGAGTCACTGAATGTGGCATTAAATTCAATACTCATCATTTGTTTTGAACGTTTGTATTGTTTTATATCTGGCATTTCCTTCCATCATAAATTCATTTAGTTACTAATCACATACAGAAGCAGATCATAAATGGAACCGTCTGAACCCAAGAAGCAATCTCTAACTGCAATGAATTCTTCTGCTGATGAAAAGAAAGACTGTAATTAACACGTGTGTAATAGGACTTAACGCTGGTCATTGCAGAGCTGAAAAGTCACATTTCAACTTCTTTTCCCCCTTCAGCGTTCAGAGCAGTTCTCTGCTCAGAAAGCTGGGGTCACAGTGTGGAAAAGACCCCAGCGAACTGGTAGAAATGCTGTCCCCATTACAGCCTCAGCAGGGGTCAGGCCATGGCAGCAAGCATCCAACCTGCCCAAAATTGGCTGCAAAATGACCAATTACCTGAGTGAAGGCTGTGGAGAAAGGACTTGGAAAAATATGGCTTTTACTTAATTCAGCTAAACTGTAAAAGAAACTAGTGTCACATTGATGCTTCTGCTTGCTACATGCTACAGTATCCCACCTGTTAAAGTGAAGATCGGGGCATCAAATCGACAACTAATCAGAAAATCAATTATAAGGAGAATCGAAATTTAATAAACTCTTAGTGTAGTGACGTGAGAGGGCTGGATGGCAGGAATAAAATCAATATAACATAGCTATAAACTGGGGGATTATTTCACCAACACTAAAACAACGAATTGATTAAACATCTTTACATGTAGGTCTTATTGAATTAATTTCCTTGCAAATGGAAAACATGCAAATTTGCCAATTAAGTCATTTGCCCATGGAGAGCTGGGCTGCTTGACGATCAGCTGCCACTGCGCCTTTAGTCTGAAACCCCTTTTTAGTTTTTGTTAAGAGTTAAGTCTCCAACAAAGACAGGAAGGAGGTCAGCACTCAGCCAACACCTGAATGCGCCTCTCTTTTTTGTGCTCCCCTTGATCCCCACAGTCTGTGCCTGTCATTAGTCTTAATGACGGAAAATTGTCATGTTGATACAAGTCTTGCTCTCCCCCTCTCTTCTTTGTATAAGTAGAAGGTGGAAGCTCTATTTGTAACAAAGTTCTAAGCCGTGGACACTGCATTTGTGCTGGGGGAGAATAAAGGCTGTAGATGCTCTTTCCATAGCTGGGATAATTATTCCTACTGTGACCTTAATGATTCGCTCTGTTCATCCTGCATCTCATCCACGCGCCAGGCCCTCAGCAGAGCCCCGTGTCAGGGAATATGAAAAACCCATATAATGAAACCATTTTGGCTGATGGAAAAAGGGGGCTACTGAAGCTGCACTTGCTACAAAGACGGCTCAATTATATGAGTAATTGTGATAATTTTCCCTCCATTCACTGCTTTCTCTGAAAGGTAAAAAACACAGATGCTGAAAGGGAAATTACTTGGACAATATATAATCTGTGAAATGGTCACAACAGAAAAAAAGATGACTGTAAGAAAGTGTAGGACTATAAATAGGTATGTTAATGCAGGGCACATAAATACACCCTCAGAAGCTCACAGACATAAAAAAAAAAAAAATAGCACTGCCTTGTGCAAGCTCATGTGAATAGAAACATGCAAAAAAATGACCATTGAAAAAACATGATAAAAGTAGATATGCAGCTGCCAGAAAATTAAACCCCCTTCTCCTTCCAACTGACAAATTTCAGCTCCTGAAAATGCACCCCCATAGTTGGCTATCATTTGTTGTTCTCTGACAGGAAAAGGATAATTACCTCTCTCAGAGGCAGGGGGACTGACATGCCCTTTAGACTTTGCCATGAATGCAGAAGCTTGATAGAAAGCTTGAGGAATAATTTTGTTCTTTGCCTTTCCTTTATGTTCAAGAGCATGTTTTGTTCAGAAGAACTTGGAGATGGCAGTATTGTAGAGTGCATTAAACCATGGGTGTTCATACTGTAAATATGACATCCCGGTGTCTATCAGCTTCTCCACTCAGGGGGAAAACTCTGAAATGCATTAAAATTTCAATTTCATCTCACTGGAAGACAGGCGAGATAGTGAGATATGCATTACTTTTTCCTTTCACAGTGGGTGTTGGATTAAACATTTCTTCTTCCTCACTGAAAAAAATAAATATATAAAAGCTTCTTTTTGTCAGGCAGGAACGAGGCTGTGAATTCAAGTTTTGTGGCGACAGAAAAGCATTGTGTTCTATGAAGTGTCCAACATATGTACATGCGCATGAAACCAAACACTAAATGAACACTATGTTCTGTAAGAGAGCTCTATTCTTGTTTCTCTGTGGAGGTTTTTAAGGAAACTATCATTAAAATGTTCAGCACTTTAAATAGAAATATATGATGATTAGCTCCATATATTAATATGACTATTGGTTTTTCTCTTTTCTCCCTCCACCGACTGATTCTTGCATGTTGTTTCTTTATGTCCGCAACCTCTTCCCCCAAAAGTAAATTTTTTTTTCAGAGAAACCTCCCACATGTACGGCCACTGACCCCTCAGGCCCTGCAATCTGGAATAAATCTTTCCAGACAAGCTGAGCAACATTACAGCCTTGCAGCTCAAATACTTGTATCACACTCAAATGATGAGTCTCTGTCACACACCATGTTTCACCCCAACCCCCCAATAACTTCCGTCCCATTGAGCAGCCTCGTGTGTTACTGGGGGCCAAGACAGCCAGAGACCCCCTGGTCCTACCTGATTGTGCCTCCTGTAACATGGAAAAAGCAGCTTGGTCCCATCACCAGCCTGTACTCAGCATTGCTTTTGTGCAGCACACACACACACACACACACACACACACACACACACACACACACACATACCCACAAACCACCAATCTCAATGCAGTGCGCCCCACTGTGCACTTCCTGACAGCCTCCAGAAATGTTTTCAAGTTGTCAAGTCCCCACAGTAATAGTCTGGGAGCAGAGAATACAAGAAAACAATAATCATATGATCAGAAATTCAGGTTATGTAAAGACTGTAAGAATAGAACAGTTTGGGCTGCTTCTTTCAGGCTCTTTCATTTTCTGTTTTCACTTTGTTTCACATGGAAATGCAGCATAATATTTTTACTATTTGGGCTTTGACACTGACTCTTTAAATCTAAGTCTTTGAGCTGCAACAGCTGCTGCAATTTTTGAGCACAAATTCAGTTTATTTAGCTCGACAGCAGTAAGGGACTGTATGAAAATTATATGGGAAAGTGGAGGGTTATGTACTTTTTGCTGTAGGCAGTGAGAGTAAGGGAGGGCCTTTTTTCTCATCCCAGATTCATATTTAATTTAATTTATTCTCATGCAATATCAGGCTACAACATCATCTGACATGACTTTCCACAACAGTAATAATAACGGTTCATTTAAAAGCTTTCAGTTTGAAAAAAGCTGTCATGTTCGGTTTCAAATGTGTGAAAATTATTGCTTCGTTAACATATTAAGGTTTAAATAGGACTATACCATGTTTTAATTATTCATGCAATTTTAGTTACTAATGGTAAAACAATAGAAAGAGAAAATAAATAACCCTCCCGTTTTTCTGCCCCCCCTCATCCCATAATTTTGTCCCCTTCTTAGTAATACTTTTCCCCCAACAGTGACACCCTAAAAACTCCTGATCATACACATGTGAGTCACACATAAAGGCATAAATGAAGGGTCTAAACCGTCACGCTGACTTGCACAGACACAGACCATCATACAGAGGTGGTCTGATTTTGTTCTTTATAGCCAGCAGTCTGATATAAACCAGTCTGACCTACAGCTGTACCTCACAGATATTACTAGCCAGGGACAGAGAGCCTCGTCTCAAGCTCAGACATCTATGGAGAAAGCTAAGACAAGGCTGTCAGAGATTTTAATAAATGTAGGGAACACTGCATGGGAAAAGTGTTGCTGTCTCAATAGAGTGACACAGACAGGCCAAGGCTGTCAATGGAGCCCCTAATGACAGAGTAAGATAATGACAGACCCCAGTTAGAATCAGCAGGAAGAGGAAGATCAATCTGCAGCCAGAGAGGGAGGGATGTAAGGAGGGAACAAAACTGTGGGCTCTTTCTTTTCTATTTTCTGTTTTAGCTCATCTCATACATATATCTTTCTGCTGCAGCTGGCTCGCGTCGTGGCGGGGCAGCTCTGCATTAAGCGCACAGTGGATCAATAGCCATTACAACTCCCTCACAGCCTGACACATCACAGGACCACAGTTGACATTTCACTCAGGGCCACATTGATCCCCAGTGCACAATATTCCAGCCCCCAGTTAGTAGCCGAGCCTGGGGTCTGGCTGGAATTGAAAAGCGAGGGAGGGGGCAGAGGGGTGGCTAACCAGCTGCCCACGCTACAAGTAAACAGCACACCCCTTGATGCATTCCTCATTTTCAATCTACTGGTTTTCCTGCCTCTACTGGCAATCTGAGAGGCTGTATCAGAGGATCAAAGCTTGACCTATGTGAATTATTTATACATGCATTGGATCAGTGTATACATGTGTGTGTATGTGTGTATAAGGCAGAAATAGCCACACTGGCATCATTGTTGATAGCATCTCTAGCATTTTGCCGACCAGTGGAAAGAAATAAAAATCTAAAATAAGCATTCGTGCAATTAAAAAGTGGGGGTTCCCAAGAAACCCTGCTCAAAATAAACACGGAAAAATAGCAGACAACACAAAATTAGACACAATTTGAGTTAATTTCTCTTTAATTGCCTCCTGGGACCTAGGATGCTATCTCTGTGGTCAGTTTTACTTAGCAGAATAACCACCAAGGCTGTACCAAAGTGCTGAATTCATACTCGTACAGCAACATGCAGCGTGTGTAAATTATTTTCCAAAAAATAAATAACAGTTCAAAAAGATCAGTTTCTTTGGTACCTCTACAGTCACACTGAAGATGCCAAGACTAACTAAAACACATTACATATTCATACAATACTGACAAGTTAAGTATACAAGCGTTTAACCTGCCTCTCTGTATAGTTTTTCATCATGACACAATCACCA